TAAGTAAAATAAATACATCATATAACAATATTGAATAATGTTTATTAGTAATATGATAACACTCGTGATGCACACATTTTTTAATGTCAACCATTATACATATTTATATAGTAAAAATTATAAATTATATGTTTATAATAGCATTAAAAATATTTATATAGTTTGAAAATAATAATGTAATTAAAGTCACACATCAACCATGATCGGTTTGTCATTGTAATTAGCATTTAGGACTTGAAACTTTATTAAAGAAATGAAGTAATTGCTGATTAATAAATTCTATAATATTCATTCACACAGTGGACAGCTGTAATATAATAATCTTAAGTAATGTTATTAACACTAGCAATAAATAAACTGCATAGATGTCCATTATGAAGTATATCTGTATATAAATGATACACAGATCTCTTGTTTAGAGTAATAAATCTGAATATCAATTTATTCTTCATTATTTATAAAAATAAACAACTTTGTAATGCTTAATAGCCATTATGATCGAAAAACATGTAGGCTTTCTCTAAATTTCCAAAGGTGTCTAAGATATAATTCTGAAAAAGATATATCTTCCGCATGATAGAATAAAGCTGTAATGCTTTAATACTTTTTAATATCTATGAAAATGCAGATAAATATTATGTTAAACAACGCCTAAATTAATATTGTTTTCAGAAATTCACTTATCATGTAATTGTGTTTGATGAGCTTCATGTAATTAAAATTAACATATATTCATTGACTGCTTGTTTTTTTCCTATTTCGCTGGCGATACAGTCTCATTATTTGAGCAACTGTAATAACTGTCTTGCCTATAAAAATAATTTCCAATTTAATAACATCAAAAACATATAGTAACCACGAATAAAACAAATTACATCAATAAACTTACGTTTCTTACACATCAGATTTTTTATTTGTTTTATTATTTTGACTATACAATCAAAGCAATCATACTCACGCGACACCACGACCAATCACAATCGACCTGTATAGAAATGATATCATCGAGAGCGAATGACGAATCATTGGCGCCCGACTCGGCCGTAACGATTTTTCCGTTGCATTTGTACAGATTTACACCCTAGTGTACCATTCATTAGGAGTGATTAGTTTTTAGCAAAGGCAGGTCCAGTCATTACCGAGATGCAGAGCAAAGAGTGCAGAAAATATAAATCGAGTTTTTGAGAGAACGGAGTATTTGATTTGAATGATCCAGAAACCATTCAGTTTGTAATGATTGGGAGAAGTGATGATTAGTTTTTGGCAAGGCAGGTTGAGCCATTTTGAAGATACAGAGATAAATGTACAAAAGATGGCAGTTTTTGAGAGAACTAAGCATCGGATTTGAGTGATTCAAAAAACTCTGCTTATGTTAACAAAACAATTTCTTTTGAAAAAAAGTTTTATTTCAAACTTTTTGTATATCAAGAATAATTCAGATTTTAATTTTAATTTTGGCTAAAGTTCTAAAGCTCACTTATATACTTTAAATAAATAATTTTAACTTTGTATATAGTTTATATAATTCTTATAAATAAATATTAGACAATGTTACAGTATTTATAATAATCTATTTGAAAACATTTAACATTCCTCAAATATTTTGTTATGGTACTGGAAGTTCCAGCAATTTGCCTTAAGGCACAATGCCATACACCTATAATATTTACAATATCATACCACATTTATCCTGCTTCAACCACCATCCGGCAAAATTTCTTCTTCCCGTTTATGACAACTCATATGTTTTGCCAAATGATCTTTTCGAACAAAAGTTTTATTACATATTTCACATTGATGATTCCGTTTCCCGATGTGACTTAAAGCATGTCTCCTCATAACACTGCTTTGAGAATAATATTTCTTGCAGATTTCACATTTGTATTTACGTTCTCCTGTGTGAACACTTGCATGTGCTTTTAAACCATTCCGTTGTGTGAATGTTTTATTGCATTTATCACATTTATATGGTTGCTCCTTGGTGTGAATTCGAACATGTTGCCCCAAAAGGTATCTGGTAATGAATGCTTTATTGCATATTGAGCATGCAAAAGGCTTTTCACCGGTGTGGATTCTGAGGTGCACTTTTAAATTACCTGAATGTTGAAAAGTCTTTGAACAATATATACATTTACGATTATCAACTACCATATGCTGTTCTGGGTTAAGTGGTATTTCAAGTGATCTATTAGATGGGCCACATTCGGGTGTCTGAATTAACTCCTGTTTGATTTCTTCCTCTATCGTCACTTCAGAATTCATAAAATTCTTCAGACAAGTTTCATTATCTTCTGTATACAACTCAGATTTAATAATATCATCAACAGTATTAAATTCATCCTCAATTTCATCATGAATCTCTTCTACTGTATAATCTTCTAGTTCAATTTTAATTTTCTGTTCAGGCCTAGAGCAGGTAGCTTCTTCAGACATTTTTGATTCGTCACTATTCAAATTAATAACATTAATGGATAATAATGCACATACTGATCACATTAAATTTTGTTATTAAACATCTTAAATATTATTTTGTTTACAATTGTCTTTTGAGAAGAATTAGTATTTAGTTTGACATTTTGACAATGGAAAGCATAGAGAATGTTTTTGGGTTTTGTATAGAGAGGTCACCTTTAGCAAATAACTTTGATATTTAACAAAAGCGCCACGTCTCTTCTAATACATTATCGTTCTCTATGCTTCAACTGTCAAAAGAAAAAATCGTATTTTTTTTAATTTTAATTAGGTCTTAACGAATTATTATTATCGTGTCTTCGATGTTTATGAAGTTCCATATTATAATTACTCCATAGATAAACAAGTATAAATTACTCTGAAATAATTTTAATTAATATGAAAATATCTCATAATGCTTAAATAAATAATCAAACTAGTGGTGTATGGCATCGTGTTTAAGGCAAATTGCTGGAATTTTCCATAACATAACGAAATGTTCGAGTAATATTAAATGTTTTCAAATAGACTATTATAAATACAGTAACTTTTATTATTCGCATATTTTATAGACAAAATATAAAAGTTTATAAATTGAAGGACTTTTATATATTTATATGGTAAATAAATAAAACTTGATCAACCAGATTTAAAATGGAGGACATAGTCTAATAATGGTCTAATATTTATAAGAAATATATAAAATGAATTGCAAAGTTGAAATTATTTATTTAAAGTATATAAGTGAGCTTTAGAACTTTAACCACAGTTAAAATAAAAATCCGAATTATTTTCGATATTAAAAAAATTATTTTTTTTTAAATTAAAAAAAGCCCAAAACATTCGCTTTTCAACACAAGAAAAAAGTTTTTTCCATCATTCAAAGCAGTTGTTTCGTTCTCTTAAAAACTGCCATAAGCAACCTGTTTTTGCGAAAAACTAATCACCACTTCTCCCCATCATTGAATGCTTTTTGGATCATTCATACTACGTTCTTTCAAAAACACGTATTACTATTTTCTGCACTCTATGCTCTGTGTCTCCGAAACGACTCGATCAGTTTTTGTCAAAAACTAACTAGCACGTCTGTCTATAATAGAAATTGAATGTTTTTTGAATTATTCAAATCGGTTGATCGGTGCGCTCGAAACACACACACATGCATACATAATTTTTTTCTAAGGTATGCCAAAATGTTCAGAAACCTCTTGAACGAAAAAATGTGCAAAAAAAGTTGATTTTTGGACGATTATTATGACTTGAGAAGTTAATAGATAAGTGGGACTTTTAGTGCCCCATGGAAAGTGATAAATTAATGTTTTAATACAAATTTCAAAGTTATAAGCCAATATATACATTTATTTGTAGAAGAAATCCTCCAAGTTAGCCATATTCTGCCTCATAATATAGCGTTGTCATGGCATCTCATGCTTGTTTCTTGGCAGTGAAAACTGTGAAAATGTCTATCTATAATAAGCAAACAAGCAAATAATTACTTACTTACATACTTTAATAGTTCTAACAATTTAATATGAATATAAACATTTTTATATATAAAATTATATTTTATAACAATCATACAGTACATAGTGACCATAATTAACAAGTATAAATAAAAACTAATAATAAGGTAACAATAAAAAATGTGAAACAAATAGCATTTATTAAAAACAGATAAACAAATTTATACAATAAAATATTACTGACAATATAAAAGTAACTAGTATATTTTAATACAGTAGAACTCCGATAAGACGATTATTATTACTTATTCTCGCATAATGCACGCTACTTTACGCCACTCGCATCAGCTTGTAAAATCGTCTTAACGGGGTTTATTGTACTTTCATAAACGAGGCTCACAAATAATTCTTTTATATCTTAATAAATCAATAAATAATCTTATGTAATATCTAATCATGGTGCATCTTTCTAAGGCACCCTTAATAACATATACGTGAAGTTAGGTTTTATATGTAAAACGCCTAATCGCACAGAAAATCCATAGCTTTTTGACAGTTTTTGCTACCAATTCCTACGAAGAGAAGACTGTAACAATGCGTTGCCAAACCATTTATATTTTATTGGTGAATTGCCCCTTGAATATCTATTTGGAAAAGTAGAAGATGAAGTACTACATTTGTGGTAGGGCGCAGTATGGATCGAGAGACGTGGTCTTTGAAATGCTTTGAAACAAGCTTTTTCTTTTATCGTACTGCTTGTTTATTGTAAGATGAGATAATTTGTTTTAAAACAGTCGAGTATGTGACATAAGACCTTAATATATCCATTTGACTTCTTTTATCCAAGATTAAACCACAAAATAAGTTTATTTTAACAAAATTCACATTTTGGGGTATGTTTGCTCTCGCTTGAGGTAAGACAAGGAAATTGCTTTACGTGCTAAATAAAAAATCTTGTGAACAAAAATGATTAGAAGCTTCAACGACCATATTGGGTTTCTTATTTTTGCATCATCAAAGTGTATTATTAAGTTGTAATATCATGAAGCAAGCTTAATCAAAAAGCCCAAGAGCAAATTAAGTAGACGACTTAACCTCAAATCAATTTACTGTAAAGAATATATGAATAATATTGAAGCAAGATAAATCAAGTAGACGGCATGACCTCAATCTACCTTATATGCAACTACTTTCATTCTCTCTTATTTTACTATAAAATACCAAAACAAACTTATCCGAGAATAGGCCTACTAGTGTACATAATTATTCTTAATTTGGCATTATTTCAACCATTCCAATTTCAATCTTCCTAACCTCCAAATTTAACACTGCCCCTCTGTCTCGGATTAGCATCCCCCCTCGTTCCATTTTGCGAATTTGAATTCTGACTCACCAATTTAACATTACTATTTCTATTTACATGTCTATTTGGACTACTATTACCATTCCCTTGAACTTTACTCTTAGCGCCATCCGCCGCCTGTCGACCACTTCCTGAACTAGTTTCAGTATTATTAGTATTTTTAATATTTTCATTATAAGTTTTGGTTTCTTGATTAAATTTGATGTTCTGCGTAATGTTGTGATAAATTTTTGTATTGGTTTGTGTCTGTGCTTCCGTTGGTCGCTTGGTTCGGATTCGCACCACTTTTTTCGTGTCACGTGATTCATCAGCCTGGACGTCCTGGAAGTTGTTTACGTCTGGAAATGTTTGAGCCTGTACACTAGGACGGTTGTCGCTGAGTAAGTTGTTGTAGTAATTATTGTTGTCGATGGAATTTACAGGATTGCCCACGTTAACCGTCTGTAAGTTGCCAGGGTGATGGTTGTTAAAATCGTTGTTACTAGAATGATGGTTGTTGTAGTTGTTGTTGCCAACATTACTAGAATGGTGGTTGTTGTAGTTGTTGTTACCAACGTTGGGGTTGTTTAAATTACTAGAATGGTGACTGTTGTAATCGTTGTTGCCAGGCTTGTGATTGTTGTAATCGTTGTTGCCAAGCTTATGATTGTTTAAATTACTAGAAACATTGTCTGTGCTGTGTTGATGTTTGTTGCCACCATTGTAATTGTGATGGTTCTTATAACCATTATTACCAACGTTAGCATGATGATTATTATTATGCTGTTTTTTGTAACCAACGTTACCAGAATTTCTGTAATCATGATTGCCGATGTTATGATTATTATAATTTTGTTGATTTTTATAACCATTATTATCATTAGAACTAGGTTTATTTTTATAACTATTGTTTCCAACATTCGGTTGAATCGGATTGTGATTGTTTACATTCTGGTTGTTTTTATTGACACGATTTTGTACATTACTAGGTGAACCTTTGTAGTCACCAGGTGCAGTGCTGTCGAACTTCTGGCTCTGATAGTTGCTGCCAACGTTGTGTTGATTATTGTTGGATCCGTGATGGTTGATGTTGGAGTTTAAACCGTGGTGATGATTATTTTTGTGCCTGTGATGTAATCCATCATGAACAGGTGTAGCAACGTCGCCGCCAACTTGAATTGGAGGATCTAAATGAAAATCTTGAGGTAGAACTATTGGTCCATCTAGTGGAAAGGGATAAGAATCGTCTTCGTCATAAATTGGTTCTTCGGTGATATCATAAGTATGTTCTGTTGTCAAAATAATATCTTCTGGTTTAACCAAGTAGTCTTGCAGAGTTTTATTCTGAGGTGGTTTTGGACTTGGTATCGCGCTTTTGCTTTTGATTTTTTGTTTTTTAACTTTCCGTGGCCGCTTTGGTGCCAATTTCTCCTTGACATCAAAGTTTTGATTCAAGTCCTCAAATCTTGGCGGTGTCTTTCTCAAATTCTTGGGCACTGGTGGCACTATAAAATCTCTAGGATAATTTGAAGACTTCCTGGGTCTACTTTTGGTACGCTTTTGTACCCTGGGACGTCTAGATTTTTTATTGGAACTTGTCTTAGGCCTCGAGGATGTCACAGGATCGTTTATGTGAATATGTTCTTCGCTAAAGGTATGTGTGTGCATGTTTCCACGTTTGTCTAGAACTGTATAGGATTTAGTAGGAGCTGTTTTGTACATCCTTGGAACCTGATCGATTCTACGCTCCATATTCGGCTCGGCTTGTCGTTTTGAAGTTGTTTTATTAGAACCAGTTATATCTTCAGAATCCAACAATGGTAAAGTATCAGGTTCCGGGTTGTTTTTGGTATTTAATGTTTCGTTAGCATCTCGACCATCTTCAGGTCCAAAATACAGAACACTACCATTTGACGCACTTTGATCAGGTAATAAAGAATATTTAAATTTCTCTTTATCATCCACATCTTTTGATCTAGTAGTATTGACTTCCTGTTGTTCTATTTTTTTTAAATCATTTGTTAATTTTTCAGCTTTAGCTTCAATTTTTTTCTGTTGAACTAAAGTTGGATCCGGATTTAGGGTGTGCACATTTTTTATATTTTCGGCTACATTTGGTTTCATGGCTGTTATTCTAGAACATATACAAATTTAATAAAAATAAAATAAAATATTTTGTGCTGGGTCGTTGTCACGGTAAAAACTATAACTAGGAAAAAGTAGCATTTTTCCTTGAGTTGCATAAATATCCTGATATGGATGATTAATCGACCTGATGTACTTATTTAGTTATGTCAATTATTATAATAAATGTAACAATCAAAGATGCTATACGTCCCAAACATGCGGCCGATATTACAAATGTTTAATACATTTTTATAAGACAACCTCTTTTTGTAGGTTTATAATAATTTAAGGTATTAATAGACAATGAATTCTAGCATCATTTTAAGTTTCATTTAGAACGACAAAAAAAACAACAATAAATACCAAGAAAATAACTGTCCGATCTTCAGCAAAAATTAATCAGCATGATTCCCAACTAATATATTTCTAACAGTTTTTGAAATTTCAAAATCTGTTTACGGCATAAACGTTGATGGCATATTTTACCCTTATTTTACTGCTTTTTTGCAAAAACGTCTAGAATGGCTTCTGCCAAAACCTAATCACCACTTTTCCCCATCATTACGAACTGAATGTTTTTTTGATCATTCAAATCAACAAAGAAATGGCATGACTGAATAGGGTCACGAATAAGAGGTCCATTTATACTTGTTTATCTATGAAGAGGTCCACGTAAACCATTATCAAGTTTCATCAAATAGCTATTACATTTTTGAAGTGCATCGGATTTTTTTCTAGAAAACGCGGACTGAAGGTCAATTTTGGCTCACTTACATACGTAGTTTTTCCAATTCCGGTGCCAAACGACTCAGAATGTCGAAAATATAAATTTAGCAAGACGAGTTTTCTGACAAAACCAAAAACTTTATGAGAGAAATGCCTTATCCGTTTAACAAACAACAACTTTAACAAAAATTTATTTTAATTTCTATTACATTTTCAAAATAAATTTATGGGATGCAAAAAATATAATTTAGTTTGATTTCATTTTTTTTTTAAATTAAAACACTCAATTTGACAGTTTGTGGCAAAGACAGATCCAGCCGTTTCGGAGATACGGAGCAAAGAGTACAAAACATAGAAATCATGTTTTCGAGAGAACGGAGCATCCGATTTGAATGATCCGAAAAACATTCAAATCGTAATGATAGGGAGAAGTGGTCACTGGTTTTTAGCGAAGGCAGGTGCAACCGTTTCGGAGATACGAAGCTGAATATGTAAAAATGGCAGTTTTTGAGAGAACTAAGCATCCGAATGATTCAAAAAACTTTCTGCTTGTGTTGACAAAGAGATTGTTTTTAAAAAAAAAATTGATTTTTTTTTAAATTTCCAAAAATACCAAATATAGAAAGTAATTCGGACTTTTATTTTGATTCTAGCTAAAATTCTAAAGCTAACTTGAATGATTTTAACTTTGCAATTCAGTTTATATAATTCTTATAAATATTATACAATGTCCTTCCCTTTAAATCCGATTGATTAAGTTTTTACTTTACAAAAACGTCATAGTCCAATTCAACTCTTATCTTTTGTATATAAAATATGAATAATGAAAGTTACAATATTTATATTAATCTATTTCCAAGCATTTAATATTCCTCGAATATTTCATTACATTATTAATTTACCTTAGGGGGCGTCCATTAATCACGTGAGGTTTTTAAGAGGAGGGAAAGGTTTGAAAAAAAAAATCACGAAAAATTAAGTATGGGAGGGAGGAGTATATAGTAAGATATCACGAGTAGTTATTTCTTACCTAAATTTTATTAAAAATCCAAACATTTCAAAAATAATAAAAAAAATACAATTTTTCTCGTAACTAATAATACACGTAATGTTTGGTGGGGTCGGGGAGGGGTAATTTTGAATATCACCATGTATCATCAAGGCGGGGTCCAAAAATCCTTAAAAAATCGATCATGTGATTAATGAACGCCACCTTAAGACACGATGCCATACACCACTAGTTAAATTTTTGAAATCAATGCAGCCATTTTTGAGAAAACAAACATAAACACAAATATACTTTTGCCAAGTTGGGTATCAAACGATTAGGATTAACTTGAAACGTCAAAAAAATATAAAATTAGCAAATCGGATTTTCTGACAAAAAAAACTTCATCTTTGGAAAGTTAAAAACAAAATAATTTATCACTCATGCGCCCACACCCTAATTTCGTATTTTGACACACCTGCAGTCGCCGCCATGTTTGACAGTTTTGACAGTTGTCAGTAAACGTCAAAAGATTTTAATTATAGTTGTTATTTCTTTTAGCATTAATAATAAATAAAATAAATAATTATTAAGTTCTAAACAAATACATATCGAATTAGTAAAATAGGTAGTTCAATATTATAAATTGATTTAGTAAATTTATGAAAAAATTCAAGATAAAAATTAGAAATATCAAAAATGTCTGAAGGAACAAATTCATTTACAAACAATCAGGTAAATAAGGTTAATTTTTTAATAAATAACTGAACAAGTAGCACTTGTATATTGACTAATATATAATTATTTGGAAATTGTTTAAAAATTATACAAAAATATACAATACACAATACAATATGCCTTGATCATTAAAATGTATTATTATATTTTATATCGCCAAAAAATGGCTGCAATTTAACACTTTGTTTATTAGTAATAATCCAATCATTATTCTTTTACGCTATTAATTATCTATTACCCCCTAGAATTGGGTCCCTGATAGCGAATCCCAGGTTCCCGAAAAGATGTTTACCCTTAAAAAGTGGAACGCAGTAGCGATGTGGAGTTGGGACGTAGAATGTGACACCTGTGCTATTTGCCGAGTCCAAGTAATGGACGCCTGTCTCCGGTGTCAAGCCGAAAGCAAAAAGGAGTCTCTTGGAAGGCAAGACTGTGTCGTAGTGTGGGGTGACTGTAATCATTCGTTTCATCATTGTTGTATGTCGTTGTGGGTTAAACAGAACAATAGGTGCCCTCTGTGTCAGAAGGAATGGTCGATACAACGAATTGGAAAATAATATTCAGTAATTGTGTTGTGCTTATGAATTGTTTAGTTTGTAAGTTTTTTCGGTAACTGAATTTGGATTGTAAAATATTGAAATTAAATAAATTTTAACAAATATGTATAAATAAGAGTTGAATTTGTTGGTTGAATTTTTTGGGGAAAAAAATTCTATGTACGATACATGTTTTATTGTACTCGAAATTTTTGAAGTGAAATTATTAGGTGCTTCTGCCTTTTTTTGATACAACAAATTGAATTTGTAAAAAGATATACACCTAATATCGGCTACATTACAATATTTTTATATATAAAATTCTTCTGTACGGATGTATGATTTAATACTTCTCTTAAACGGTTATTCGGATTTTGATAATTCTTTTTAGAGTTTGTCAAAGAAAATTTTTAAGATTTTATGAATGATAAAACTATAGTAACATTATAGAAATAAATGGCAAAAATTACAAAAAATCACTTATCATTGTTTGACATTGAAAACTTTTGAACTTTCATCTGCTAGAAATGTCAATTCACTTGAAATTTGAATTTAGCTGAAATTATGAGCCTAGGTAATATTAAAATATAATATTCAAGAAATATGTAATGTCTACATTATTATTGCCAAAAAACAGCTGAGATCTGCCAGAAATTAAAATAATATAAGATACAGTCAACACTATATGGTTTGGCAAATAAAATTATATAATTCAGTTTAAAAAGTAATGCAATAAGTCCAAAATTGCATATACATTATTTTTTTAAACTTATGCATATTGCCTTTTGGTTTACTTTACTAAATTATTTAACAATACAAAAAAATATTTTTACTTTTTGAAAAAATGATTTAGAATTCCGTTTCATGTGTCAAAATTTTAATTTCACAAACTACAGACTGTCTAAAAATATTTTTTTTTGATATTCTTGAATTTTTTTAATATAGTAAAAATAGGAATTTTGGGATGTGCATAGTTCATACTGTGGAGATGTTTACACATTTTGGGAAGAAACTGCCACTTACACCTAATTAACTTACCGTAGGATAAGTTAAAGTAATCGCAAAAAAATCGAAAATAATTTTTAGAAAAAATAGATGTAAATATAGGTGTGTGTGTGTGCGGATACAAATTCTCGTCGACGATTTCGAGAACACGATTTAACCGATTTGAATAATTCAAAAAAAACATTCCCTAGATAAGGATACGTGATGATTAGTTTTTGGACACGGCATATCCAGCCGTTCTGAAGATACGGGGCAAAAAGTGCCAAAAATGGTAACTCAGTTTTTAACGGACTCAGTTTTCAAAAAACATTTTACTTATATCGACAACTTGAAGAAATGATTACATTTTTCGGAAGGCAGGTCTAGCGGTTTCGAAAATCGAGTAAAAAAATTTAAAAATATGTCATTTGGCGGTCAAAAATGATTATTAGACATATGCACATCAAATTATCAGATATTTTATAAAAATGTTAACAATAAGTATAAATTTTGTTTACATTTCCATGGGTTCCGTAACATTATGCGTTAGACTGCGACGCGGCGCTTACACGCTTCCATATTTCATCTCTATGCAGCTAAAGCAACGCTATTGCTTTGAAAAAAGTTCAAAATTTGCAAAATATTTCATATATAAAAAAAATATTTTTTTCAAAAAAATCATTCGAAATTGTTTTTCAAAAATTTAAAAATTCTCAAAAATGAAATTTTTTCAAAGTTGAACAAAATATTTTAATTTTTCAAAATTTAATTTTTTTGGAAAAAAATAACTTTTGAAACGAAAAGTTCTAACAATTTGCCTTAAGGCACGATGCCATACACTATTAGTTAATTATAGGTCGACACTTGTCGGGAAGGAAGTTCATGCAACTTGCCTTATGTAATACTGCCACTTACACCTAGTTTTTATATAAATCTATTTTGCTTATCAGTAGACTTCTATTTCACTTTTCTAAATGAAATTTATGTTTGCCGGTAGAGTTGTCTTTATCGAGTTTTTTATAAATTCTTACGTTTCAAAACCTTCTGAACATTTTGGCATACCTTAGAAACAATGGATGTATGTGTGTTCGGATACAAATTTTCAAAAAGAGTTTTCAAAGGAAGTTCCAGCATCCGATTTGAATGATTCAAAGAACTTTCTTTTTGCTTTCGGCTTGTAACAATTGGTTTTGGGAAACGAAAAAAAATTAATGTTCAAAAAAAATTTTTTTTGAATGTCGAAAATGATTCGAATTTTTATTCGGTATGGAAAGTTCCAGCAATTTGCCTGAAGGCACTATGCCATATACCACTTTTTTTTAATTTCCAGATTCTGAAAAATCACATCTTTTCAAAGCTTTAAAAAAATAAAGCTTTTTAAAAAAATATTTTCAGTAAGGCAAATTCTCAGAATAACTTGAAACATAAAATTACTAAATCGGATTTTCTGGCGAAAACATCAACTTCTCCTTCGGGAATTGAATAAAATAAAATAATTGAATACATATATGATGGATTATTATTATTTTCTAGTATAATGTTTCAACTTATTAGTTTTCCTCATTTCGACGCTTGAATGATTCGAATGTGGAAAGTGAACGCATCCATTTGTGAATCCTACACGATGCGAAAAACTTTCGAAACAATTATGGAAATTGGAAAAAACAATTACAATTATAGTAAATAATATATGTATATATATACTAGATAACCCGGCAGATTTTGTCCTGTACCCACGTCTACAATTCAAAAGTTGCAATTTTTTTAATATCCTATCCTATACTTTTTAATACCCTATTTGATGTCCTGCCTTTGTGATTCATTTATGGTCTTAATATAAGCAGTATAAGAAATTCAGAAAAAAATAATATAGTATCTGCGGTAAAAGAATAATATCACACTTGATTTTACCACACAACATAATTGATTCAATAATTTATTTAGAACATCCAAAACACATTTGTAATCTTTAGTGCTCCTTTACCAATGCTAACTTCACACGTGTTTCTTAATGTTTATGTGTTGGCACTGCTGTTTCATTTTAGATTATTCTATTCATAGTATTATATGATTTTCATTTATTGAAGTAAAACTTCTTTAGGCGCGACTAGGGAGTAAATCTGTACAAATGCAACGAAAAATTCGTTACGGCCGAGTCGGGTGCCAATGATTTGACATTCGTTTTCGATGATATCATTTCTATACAGGTCGGTTGTGATTGATCGTCGTGTCGCGTGAGTATGAGTATCCTTTGATTGTATAGTGAAAATAATAAAACAAATCTGACGTGTAAGAAATGTAAGTTTATTGAAGTAATTTGTATTGTTCGTGGTTACTATATATTTTTGAGATCATTAAAATGGAAATTATTTTTATAGACAAGAGAGATTGAGCAGCTGTAGCTCAAAGAATGAGACTGTATCGCCAGCGAAATAGTCAAAAAAACAATAGTCAATAAATGTATGTTAATTTTAATTACATGACAAGTGAAACAACTGTTCTTGTCAAAGCTTACAATTCAATCATTTTACTGATCCTGAGCATAAAGTATTATAAAGTTCCATATTTGTATAAATAATGAAGAATAAATTGATATTCAGTTTTATTACTCTAAATAAGAGATCAAGCACAACAATAGTTTGTGTATCATTTATATACAGATATACTTATACTTAATGAACGTTAATGAAATTATTTAAGATTGTTATAAGTTCACTGTGTGAACAAATATTATAGAATTTATTAATCAGCAATTACTTCATTTCTCTAATAAAAGTTCAAGTCCTAAATGCTAATTACAATGACAAACCGATCATGTCTGATGTGTGACTTTAATTACATTATTATTATCAAACATTGTAAATATTTTTAAAGGTATTTTAAATATATAATTTATAATTTTTACTATATAAATATTTATAATGGTTGACATAATTAAATGTGTGCATCACGAGTGTACCACATTAGTAATAAACTTTATTCAAAATTGTTATATGATGTATTTATTTTTAACTTAAATGTCATCTCGTACAATAGCAAAAAAGTTTTACTTCAATCGCGTGTGAACCTTACGCTACTCTTTTTTTTTAATTATATGTGATAAATTAACTCGTCTTATTAAAAATAAGGTAAGGCACATATTGCAGCCAAAATCCCCTACATGAAAGAGTAGGAAATCCACTTATTTTGTTTTCATAACTAACTTCACTCTAATTCGATCAATTTTTAGGTTGGCACCATTGTGAAAACATAGCGGCATAAAAATAAACTACTCGACTAAATTAATTATTATTATTAAGACGAGAATAAGATTTATATTTTTTATTATTTCGATCGTGACAACGACACAGCATTTTGGATATTTTTATTTAAAACTCACCTTGCTTTTTGCGCATTTGCACAAACCATGATGGTGGCAGAAATTATTAGAAAATTCTGAAACAACATAGTTTCAAATCAATATTTTTCAAAAATAAGAGAAACTTAGACATTTGCAATATGAGGTTTTAACGAAATTCATAATTTTGAAGTGAGGTCAAAAAATTATGTTTAAATAAAAATTACATTTCAAAAGTGATGTTATGTATGGAAGATCACTTTAGGAATGAAGTTAGGTGTCAAAAGCTTTAGGAATGAAGTTAGGTGTCAAAAACTTTAGGAATGAAGTTAGGTGTCAAAAACTTTAGGAATGAAGTTAGGTGTCAAAAACTTTAGGAATGAAGTTAGTTGTCAAAAACTTTAGAAATGAAGTTAGGTGTCAAAAACTTTAAAAATGAAGTTAGGTGTCATAAACTTTAAAAATGAAGGTAGGTGTCAAAAACTTCAGGAATGAAGTTAGGTGTCAAAATCTTTAGGAATGAAGTTAGGAATCACATTATAACATTATAAAAAATATTATTAATAAAAAATAATTTAGACTACTGTGATAAGAGGTTTTTAAGAAATAAAATATTTTACAAGTGAACTTACTTCAAAAAAAATATATGATATATTATAATAACCATCATTAATGCTTTTATAAGCAGCAGTTTAATTAAATAACAATTTCATCTCAAAACTAATATTAACCTCAAATATAATATTAATTTGTTTTTAATTACTAATTTACATATTAATATAATCTTAATATAATTATAACTTAAGTACTCACTTGTAACAACATTTTGAACACTATTATTATTTAAATTAAACACTACTTAGAAACTTTTCTAGAATTATGAATAAATAAAGTTTTCATCACATGTTATTTTTGTTTAAAATTTATTCAAAATATTTTTTTTCATTCATTTCATTTTTTTATAAAAAAATATTATTCATAAATACTATTATTTAAGTCTGAAATAATTTTCAATATTAAATTTTCTGTTATAATTATACGTTTTGTTAATAGTTCCAAAAGTTGTATAAATATCAATGTAACATTCATGATTCATTAAAGTTATTCGTAAAAACGTAATAAAAACGAAACAAATACAATTTTTTTTTAAATTTGTTTAGCGGCGTTAACTTCACATTGAAAACAAATTTTTAAATGTAACAAATGTGAAACATTTACGACACAATATATAAGTCACAAGAGTGATAAAAATATGACATCGTATTAAATTCACAACTAGATTATTTGTGAACGTAACAAATACGAAACATTTACATTCGTACGATACAAAAAAAGCAAAATTACAAACATTTAAGTTATGTTATGGTTTAGGTAGAGAATTTTTAAAAGTAACGAAAGTAAAACATTTCCGACACAATAAAATTGTCACAAGCGTGATAAAAATATGACACAGTATTAAATTCACAACTAGATTATTTACGAACGAAACAAATACGAAACATTTACATTTGTACGACACAAAAGAAGCAAAATTGTGAACATTTAAGTTATGTTATGGTTTCAGTAGAGTAAATACTAAATATTATTTTAAAATTATTTAATAGAATTATTTTATTAATAAAAAAATCTTGAATAACAAAATAATTATATTTTAAATTATTAGTACTTTGTTTTTAAAAATATTTAATATTATTTATAAATGACAAAAACTGCAAGTATTGTGAATAAATAAATTATTTATAAAAATAAAAAAATATTTATTTTGTTATTAAGTTTGAAAAGAAAACAAATAAACGAGGTGGTATTTTTGAAAAATCCAGATAACTTCGTATCAATAGAATAATAAAATAAATAAATAAAATATTAACTCAAACACTTCTGTTTCAAGTCCTAAAATCTATAGTCGATCAATACACTTTAATATTATTAATTAATTATTTATAACATTATTATCATTATTATTGTTATATATTAATTATGATAACACATCCACGATCATTTAATTTAATAATATTTATATTTATTGATGTTTATAAAACTGATATCTGCGAAAGACTGTTTGTGCTTTTCCTATCGTCCATTGTTTTTATAACATTCAAGTAATTATTGTTATTATTTTATATTGTTGCTATTTTCTATTTACCGGACTGGTACCAAACAGGTACAGGTAATAGATACATATATATATATATATATATATATATATATATATATCTTATATATTAAAATTATGTATGTAAATATACTCCTCCTAAACGAATATTCGGATTTTGATAAATCTTTCTGAAGTTTGTTAAGGGATTTTTTCAGGACTGTGTGATTATAGAAATATAGTTGAATTGTAAACATGAATGAAAAAAAAATTGCAAAAAAACTGCTTATCATTGTTTTACATTAAAAATATTAGAGACATTGTTTGGCATTGAAAACAAATGAAATCTGTCATCTGCCAATAATTTCAATTTACTTATGAGCCTAGATAGTATTAAAATATGTATAATAAATTCATGATTTTGAATAAGAAAAATGAAATATATTTATTATCATTGACAAAAAGCAGCTGAGATGTGCCAGAAATTAAAACAATTTAAGATACAGCATAAGTATGGCAGATTGAATGTTTCAAATTTCTGGCGTTTGCTCAGATTTTGGTTAGTTCCACCTATGTATGCGTGTTCGCCTCTACTTTGCCTAATTATTTTATTATGAATGTGTCTTATATATTTTTCATTTGTTACATTTACAAATTGGTTTTCAATGTGTATTTTGTGCCAAAAAAATATTTGAAAAATGTTTAAAAGCAGATCCAGCGGCTTCGGAGATATGGAGCGAAGAGTGCTAAAAATGTCAGTTTTTAAGAGAACGGATTTGAATGATCCAGAAAACATTCGATTCGTAATGATGGGTAGAAGTGGTGGTCCAAAAAAATGTGCAAAAAATGGCAGTTTTTGAAAGAACTAAGCATCCGATTTGAATGATTCAAAACACTTTCTACTTGTGTTGGCAAAACAATTGTTTTTGAGAAAAAAAAATTTCTTTTTAATATTCAAAAAAAATTTTTTTTTGAATATCAAAAAATAACTCGGATTTTAATTCTAATTCAAACTAAAATTCTAAAACATTTAATATTCTTCGGATATTTTATTAAGGTACGGAAGTTACAGCAATTTGCCTTAAGGCATGATGCCATATACCACTAGTTATTTATATACAGTACAAAACTAATAATAAAACATGTAAGTAAAAAAAAATATTAAATTTTATTTTGACGTTTCGTTTCACATGTTTCACGTTGTTACGTAACTGTTACGTTGGTTTTAAGTCAGATTTTCAATGTTTACAGTTAGAATTTAATAATCAAACATATTTCAGGCTTAAACAGTAAAAAAACACAATATTTTTGTATTATGAGAAAAAATCAAATTTCAAGTATTTTTATTATATAAAAATAAGTCGGGTTTTCCTTCCTGATGATATAACTTCAGAACGCACAAACCGATTTTGCATTTGTTGGAAAGGTCACGGGCTCCGTGATAAAAACTTTACTTATTTATAATTTTAGAGAAATTTCTAAATATTGTTTAATTTAAAAAAAAATAGTGATGTGTTTTTAAATATTGTTTTTAATATGTAGTTGGAAACTATTAATGCTAGATATACTTCAATTTTAAAATATTCATGAGCCAATTCTTCGATAAAATAGAAATCTTATGGAAATGCTATGTTATGGTTCTATTCGTATAAATTATGGTAGTAAAAACTGTTAAAAAGCTATGTATTTAATCTGTAATCAGGGTTTTTACACATACACCAATTTTATGTATGTGTTATCAAGGAGACATAAGAAAGTTGCACTTATGAAAAATTATTACTTGGCGTTAGTGTGTTTTGTAGGTTAGGTTTTATGCGTGATACACGTGATCGAACTGCAAATACATAGATTTTTGACAGTTTTTACTAAAAAATAAAAACTTAACTACATTTCATGTTGAATTTTTATTTGCATCCTGTGTTAATTTGTAAAGAAAATGCTCGGCTGATAATCGCATAAAACGCGAGGTTTTATTCAAGAGTTTCATAAAAATACACACACTTATGCATATAAAATGTCAGTGTCAAACGATTCAGAATGACTTGAAACATCAAGAAAACATAGAATTAGCAAATCGGATTTTTTCAGATACTTATGAAGTTTATGAAGTTATGAACTACTCATAAATTATTATACTGATTTCTTGCTTCTATATCGCAAAGTTCATGCAACATTTCTTGAGACTAAATAACACTTACACCTAGTTCATATTACTTAATTATTATTACGTGAATTTACTCATTTATTTTATCATAAATAAATTATCTCTTCCAATGAAAGTGAAATTAGTTGTAAACAAAATCGTAAAAGGAAACATTTATTGCTTTCAACATGCGAGGCGGAGATATCGTGTGCGATTGTTAATCTAATTGTTAATTTTTTCTAATTAACATAAATAATAATTGATTTGTAATGATACACTTTGTAATTGTCGATTATTGTTTTTGACGTAGCAACATTTGTTATAAAACTAGTGGTGTATGGCAACGTGCCTTAAGGCGAATTGCTGAAACTTACCGTACCGCAACGGAATGTTCGAGAAATATTAAATGTTTTCAAATAGATTATTATAGATACTGTAGCATTGTCTAATATTCATAAGAATTATATAAACTGAATTGCAAAGTTAAAATGATTTATTTAAATCTAAGGTATAAGTGAGCTTTAGAACTTTATCAAGAAATAAAGATAAAATCTGAATTATTTTCGATATAAATAAAAACCAGTTGGTATTGGTATTTTGCCTTGAGGCAAGTTACATGAACTTCCCGATATGTGTAAATAATGGACTTAATCAATAAAAATAAATTAATTTATGAGTGATTAAAGGTATTCCCAGTGCATTTATTACACATAATTGAAAACGAACGAACACTTAACGTCGGAGTACTTTCTAAAAGCAAATTTTCAAAAATCAATAATTTTTATAATTGAACCAGTTTCCGAAGGACTTTAATTGTTTAGTATGTTCATTAAGACCAAATACTTTATCGTTATACCAAGTAAATCGACTAATTTTAATTTTAACGAACGTCAAAAAAACGACTCATTTTCTCAAACTTTAATAATTTTTTTAAATTAAAATACTTTTCGTAAGGCCGCAAAATTTCAGTAAGTTCTATAACGCCATGATATATATCGCCAAAAAAAGTTCCATAAAAATCAGCTTCAATTTTTTTTCAACAGTTAATTACAAGAAAACGGCTCGGTAGATTTTCACCTAAAACTAATTAGTATCATTCCCAACTAATATCTTTCGAACGGTTTTTGATTTCTTAAAATCGATTCGGTAGTATGAGCTTAAATGTAGACGAACAGTTTAACACTTTTTTCCAAATTACAAAGAAACGGCTTGGCCGATCGTCGCACAAAACTGAGAAACGATAATCCTCATCGGGATACATCAAATGGTTTTTAAATTTCTGAAATCGGTTCAGGCGTTTTTGAGCAAACGTCGATGAAAGTTTTAATTTTGGCGAATACCAAAAAGACCATACTAATTTTTGCAAGCTTTGACGAATTTTTAAAGCTAAACGAGTTGTCGTAGGGCCGTAATATTTTAGTATGATCTATAAGACAATGGTATCTACCGTCAAAAAAATAATCATAAAAATCGTCGAAACTTTTTTTTTTAAAACTTTATTACGAGAAAACGTTCGGCCGATCTCTACCAAAACTAATCAGCACGCTTCGCAACCAATATCTTTCGAACGGTTTTTGAATTTTCATAATCGATTCAGAATTGCGGGCTAAAACGAAGACGAAAAATTTTTCACTTTTCTGCGATTCATAAAGAAACGCCTTGGCAGATCGTCGCACAACTAACAAACAATAGTCCTCATCGGGATACATCGAATGGCTTTTAAATATTTTAAATCGGTCCAGCCGTTTTTGAGAAAACGTCGATTTACGGCAAAAAATCTGTTCACATACACGCACACACATACACACACACATACTTTTTCCAAATTTGGTCTCATTAGATTCAGAATGGCTTGAAACGTGGAGAAAAAATAAAATAAGCAAATCGGATTTTTTGATGAAAACATAAACTTCTCCTTAGGGAAGTTAATAATACTGACGTTTCACGGAACATGATCGAACAAAAAAGATTCAAGCCCTAACTGCTTTGAGGCGTTTGTTCAAGTTCGTTTGGAATGATATATGCCTTCGTGTTCGTGTTTGTTAACTTCCCGTAGGGTAAGTTATTGTAATGGACCGAAAATCGGAATTGAAAATTTTTACATTTCTCGACGTTTTGAAGGTTTCTGAACATTTTGAATGGTTTGATTTGAATGGTTTAAAAAACATTCGATTCCTATTGATGAGGAGATGTGCTAATTAGTTTTTGGCAAAGGCAGGTCCAGCAGTTACGGACATAAGGAGCAAAAAGTGCAGAAAATAGAAATCGAGTTTTTGAGAGAATGGAGCATCCGATTTGAATGATCTAAAAAACATTCAATTAGTAATGATTGGGAGAAGGGGTTATTAGTTTTTCGCAAAGGCAGGCCCAGCCATTTCGGAGATACAGAGCTAAATGTACAAAAAATGGCAGTTTTTGAGAGAACTAAGCGTCCGATTCAATTGATTCCAAGAACTTTCTGCTTGTCTTAACAAAATAATTGTTTTTTTTTTTTTTAATTTTTTGTATATCGAAAATAATTCAGATTTTATTTTTAATTCTGACTATAGTTCTCATATACTTTAAACAAATAGTTTCAACTCTGCAATTCAGTTTATATAATTCTTATGAATATTAGACAATGTTGCAATATTTATAATAATCTATTTGAAAACATTCAATATTCCTCGAACATTTCGTTACGGTACGGGAAGTTCCAGCAATTTGCCTTAAGGCACGATGCCACCCACCCCACTAGTTTTTCTTTGTATTTTCTTGTGCGTTATGTTTGTTTGTCAGGTGTGGATGCACCTTTATGGTGTGGATGCACCTTGAACATTTCAAGGGTGTTGCCAACATAAGTAAACTAACGTAAATGTCAAAATTGGAACTTGATTTATTTATATTTAAAACGTTCGTAATTAAACAAATATATATGTTAAAATTGTAAATTATAAGTTTTTAATATTATAAAAATATTATATATGCAGCATACGATAATTAATTTATTTATTTACAAAGTTTTAGTACAAACATGTCTATGGACTCAAAGGTGCCAGAAGTCAAATCAGAACCGATTGTACTTTCTAAGGAAGTCCAAGACACTTTTATTACACCAGACAATAATGATTTGAAAATAAACAAAGTACAAAAAATCTACACCTGTACAATTTGCAACCGTGTGTTCACATCACTTAAAGGCTTAAAGTACCATTCGACAACCCACAACATAGGTAAAGCTTTCAACTGCACGTATTGTTATAAAAACCTGAAAACCAACGATGCCTTAAAAGTACATCTCCGTACCCATTCTGGTGAAAGGCCTTTTGTGTGCACCATCTGCAATAAAGCATTTATCCAATCCAGTCACTTACGGGAACATGTGAACATCCACACCGGAGAACGTTTATATGAATGTGATGAATGCAAGAAGTCGTTCAGAACAGCCTCAAATTTGAACAAACACAAAGAAACTCACACTTCCGAGCGTCCCTATGAATGCGAGACATGCAAAAGCACATTCAAGACACAGACTAATCTAAAAATTCACAAATCTATACACACTAAAAAACAACAATTGAAATGTGAATTATGTGATAAAGTATTCAATCAAACTGCTTATTTAAAACAACACCTGATAGCCCATACGAAAGAACGACCTCATAAATGTGATATATGTAAAAAAGGTTTTAATCGGCCGATCTTGTTAAAAAAGCACATGGTGAAGCATAATGGGATGGATCCGTTTCAATGTGAGATCTGCGATGAAGAATTTACACAGTCTCGGGCTTTTAAAGAACATGTGATGAATCATATAAGATCACGAGTTAAAAAACAGAAGACGAAGTCTTTAAGAGATGAAAATGAAGATGTCTATGCAAAATATTAGTATTTGTTGTAAAAGAACCAAAATATATATTTGTAATGTAGCAACTGAGGAAATAGTCTTTAAGATGTGAAAATGGAATATGTCAATGCAAAATATAATGTTTTTTTATATTTGTATTTACTACTAGAAAGAATAAATACATTTTCATGGATCATTGGATCATATTGTAGTCTGCCCGAAGGCAGATTCATGATGTGGGAGCTACCAGAAATAAATGATTCCCTTACCCTTCGTTGTTTATAATTTCCATTACCACTATTTCCCCCCTCTCCTTTTTACACACTTTTTATGTACATTTTTTTTCCAAACCTCTGCTTCCATGCTTTTTGATCCTGCGCTTCAGCTTTCAGTCTCCTGTATGTTCTCTTCTCTTATTTAATTGACTCAAAAAACATTCGATTCATATTGAAGGGGAGACGTGCTGATTAGTTTTTGGCACAGGCAAGTTAGTCGTTACAAAAATATGGGGTAAAAAGTAAGATAAATGGCAATTTTGAGTGAACGGATTGTCCGATTTGAATAATTCAGGAAGCATTCGATTTGTATTGATGCGGATTAGTTTTTGGCAAAGGCAGGTCCAGTCGCTTAGAAGATACGGGGCAAAAAGTAACATAAATGGCAATTTTGAGAGAACGGAGCGTCCCATTTGAATAATTCAAAAAACATTATTTGTATTGATAAAATAAAAAATTTGTTGCATTTTTGGGAAGACAGGTCTAGCGGTTTCGAAAATCAAAAAAAAGCATTTGTTGTTTTGCAGAAGTTAGTTTCATGGGACATTTTTTTCAGAACATATTTTAAGTAAATTCTGTTAATTTAATTAAACTCTATATTAAGATTTTTTATAATTTCATTGTTGTAAATGATATTAACACAAAACTAGTGGTGTATGGCATTGCTGGAACTTCCCATACCGTAACGAAATGTTCGAGGAATAGTAAATGTTATCAAATAGATTATTATAAATATTGTTACATTGTCTAAAATTTATAAGAAATATATAAACTGAATTGCAAAGTTGAAATTATTTGTTTAAAATATATTGGAACTTCAGTCAGAATTAAAATTAAAATCGGAATTATTTTTGATATTCAGAAATAATTTCTTTTTGAAAAAAAAAAATTAAACAAATTTTTTTTTTCAAAAGCAATTAATTTGTTAAAACAAGCAGAAAGTTCTTTGAATTCTTCTTTCAAAAACTGCCACTTTTGCACATTTAGGGGGTGTCCATTAATCACGTGAGCGAATTTTTAAGGATTTTAGAATCCCCTCCCCATTGGTGATACATGGTTATATTCAAAATTACCCACCCCTCCCGAAACGAAACGTAAACGAACAAAAAAATGTGGACATACAAAACACACACACACATCCATTTCTTCTGAGGTATGCCAAAATGTTCAGAAACCTTCAAAACGTGAAGATATGCAAAAATTTTCATTTTTGATTTTCGGCCTATTACTATAACTACCGTACGGGAATATTTGATTGTGGTACGGGAAGTACCAGCAATTTTCCTTAAGGCACGATGCCATGCACCATTAAAAACAATATCTAGAAGTAATACCAAAAGTTAATTTAAATTATGTACATATGCTGCCACCTTTAGATCGCTGGATAAATCAAAATGGATGTAATGCTAAATCGCCAGACATGGCGATCTATTTATATATATATTTCTCTATGGCTAATAATAAACTTCATTGTTGACCTTTAGAGTCCGCCATATTTGACAGAAACGTCAAAGTTTTATGCTATTTTATTATCTGTGTTTTGTAAAATAAATAAGTAATATGTTATAAATTTTTGCAAATTTCTTCTTCAATTATCAGTACTTAATATTTGTAGATAATTGAATTTCAAGAATGTTCGAAGCAAAAAACTATCAACTAATCAAAACAGAATCAGTCGAAATGGGCGATACCACAGAAAGTAACCAAACAACAATAAAACAAGAATTCGATGATATTGAAATCATAGAGTCACATGAAGATAATAAAACCACTGAACAAGTCTCTGAAGAAAGACCTCACAAATGCACAATTTGCAACAAAGCCTTTTCCAGAGCTTTTCACCTAAAAGAACACATGGCAGTCCACAGTTCAGACAGACTCTTCAATTGCACAGAATGTAATAAATCCTACAAATTCCAAGCAGCTTTACGAAAACACAAGCTAAGCCACACCGGTGAACGTCCCTCTGTTCGCAAAATCTGCAACAAAGGCTTCACCAATACGAGAACCTTACCAAAACACCTGAGTGCTCCTGCAAGAGTACGAGCACACACTTGCGAAATATGTAACCGATCATTCTTCAGCAAAGGTAATTTAGACCAGCATCTATTTTCACACAAAGGGGCCCGGCCTCATAAATGTGAAATATGCGAGAAAAAATTTATTAGTAAAAGTAATTTGAATCAACATGTGCTCACACATAACAATGATAAGCCTTTTGTTTGTGAAATCTGTGACAAAGCTTTTAGGAAACCGTGGTTGCTAAAAGCACATATGACTTCTCATAATGCAAAACCAATGCAAACTAATCCTTATAAGTGTGAAGTGTGCAATCAAGTTTACTCGCAAGCCGGTTATTTGAGAATACACATGGCTACTCATACCGGGGAACAACGCCCACATAAGTGTGATATATGTCAGCAAGCATTCAGTTATTCTATTCTTTTAACGAGACACAAGAAATTACATTTGAAGGAGAGAGGAGATGGAAAATAATGATACTATTTTGTACAGGAACTAGTGGTGTATGGCATTGTATCTTAAGGCTGGAACTTCCTGTACTGTAATGAAATATTTGAGATATATTAAATGTAATAAATACTGCCACTTATATATGTTTACAGAAAAGTAAATAAAACTCAAAAAGTAAGTAAAACTCAATCAATCGAATTAAACATGAAGGACATTGTCTAATATTTATAAGAATTATATAAACTGAATTGCAAATTTAAAATTATTTATTTGAAGTATATAAGTGTATTAAAGTAACTAAGTATATTAAAATTTTGTCTTTAAAGTCTGAAAGTTAATAGACATTAATGCTCAAAAGAATTATGGCTGAACTTTTTATATATTTTTTTCTCCATATTTGTCTTTAGTTTTTTTTTAATTTTTTTTATATTAACTATAGTAGATACGCCACTGGGCGCTATAAATATACTAATTTGTAAACAACCAATTGTAAACAACTTGTCAGCATTCTCTGCTAAATATAATTATTTTTATAGATTGCAGAATGAAAATAGAAAAAAAAAAAAGAAAAACTTTGTTTAGGATGAGTAGTAGTAGTATTTGATTAAGTTTAATATCCATATTAAAACTAGTTGGCTTGGTATTTTGTTGGTAAGTTACATGAACTTCCCGATATGTGTAAATAATCGACTTTTAAAAAAAAAAATGTGTAAATAATATCAATCATACTTTTAAAAAAACGACAATAATTTTAGCAAAGTTTGACGAATTTTTAAAATTAAACTACTTGTCGTAAGGCCGTAATATTACAGTAAGTTCTATAAGACCATGATGTATATCGCCAAAAAAAGTTCCATGAAAATCGGCTTAAATTTTTTTTTCAACAGTTAACTATAAGAAAACGGCTCGGTAGATTTTCACCTAAAATTAATCAGTACCATTCCCAACTAATATCTTTCGAACAGTTTTTGATTTTTTAAAATCGGTTCGGTAGGATGAGCTTAAATGTGGACGAAAAGTTTAACACTTTTTTTCAAATTGCAAAGAAACGGCTTGGCAGATCGTCGCACAAAACTTACAAACGATAGTCCTCACCGAAATACATCAAATGGCTTTTAAATGTCTAAAATCGGTTCATGCGTTTTTGAGAAAACGTCGATCAAAAGTCTAATTTTTACAAATGCCAAAAAAACGATACCAATTTTTGACGAATTTTTAAAAGCAAACTTTGACGAATTTTTAAAGCTGAACCAGTTGTCGTAGGGCCATAATATTTTAGTATGATCTAGAAGACTTTGGTATCTACCGTCAAAAAAATAATCATAAAAATCGTCGTTTTTTTTTTAAAAAACTTTATTACAAGAAAACGGCCCGGCCGATCTCTACCAAAAACTAATCAGCACGATTCCCAACCAATATCTTTCGAACTGTTTTTGAATTTCCAAAATCGATCGTCGCACAAAACTAACAAACGATAGTCCTCATCGAGATACATCGAATGGATTTTGAATTTTTGAAATCGGTCCAGCCGTTTGTGAGAAAACGGCGATTTACGGCAAAAAATCTGTTGGTGCACACGCACACACACACACATACTTTTTCCAAATTTGGTCTCATTCGATTCAGAATGGCTTGAAACGTCGAGAAAACATAAAATTAGCTAATCGGATTTTTTTTATGAAAACATAAACTTCTCCTTCGGGAAGTTAAAAATATGTTTATTAATTACATTCAGGGTCGGTCCTACTTTGATTGCGATGCATGCAAAAAATGCGGGCGCACGCCTTAGGGGGCGCCAAAACGGGATTCAGATATAAAATTTATAATATAGTTTTTTCAATATCATTCAAAAAATATATAATTAAATTTAATATTTTTAAACTTTAAAACATCAATCTGATACACGATGGGAAAGTAAAGATAAATACATACAATTTGGCTCTTATAACATAAATTATGAGAAGTTTTCGATGCAATTTTAGATATTTTAAATAATGAAAAATTAAATTAGATTAAAATTTTAATTAAAAAAGCTTGATAAAGAGAGTCTAGATTTTTTTTGCTTTCTATGATTTGTTCAATAGAATAAATCACATTAAATCCCCAAAATAAACTAGTTGGTACTGGCATTTTGCCCTGAGGCAAGTTACATGAACTTCCCGATATGTGTAAATAATCGACTTAATCAATAAAAAATAAATTAATTTATGAGTGATTAAAAGTATTCCGTGTCGATTTATTACATACTAGCTGACCCGGCAAACGTTGTTTTGCTAAGTAAGGTATATTCTAAACAATTTCTAGAGAATCAAAAATATTAATACTTTAAGTGTATAAGGATGTGTTGTTTGAATGCTATATACAATGAAGTATTATAAAAACAATAAACCCCATTAGTTTGTCTATATTTTGTCAATACAATCAAACTGGAAGATTTATACCTTTTTTATAGAAAACAGTATAATCCATCCAAGCCTTTTTTGGTCTTTCGACTTATTGATTACGTTTCAAGTTTTTCAGTTTCTTTTTGGATTCTGCATTTTGTGTATAATTGTAAATAATTCTACTAAGCCTATACAAATTTCAAACTTTTACGAGGAGAGATAGAAAATGAATTAAGTATTTCTTCTTTGACCTGCTTTTTGAAAAGTTTCAAGTAACATTCGGTGAAAAAAAGTAAATTTAATATAAAGTATATATGTAGAGCAAGGCGAGGCACAAAGGTCCAATTTGACTTTGAGCAAATATAAACTATATTGTGAAAACCATAACAATTATATCACAACAAATAACACATATCAAACGAACAATTATCTGACTACGTTCAGTAAATTGCCTTCTACTTCATCATTGTAGAAGTGTGCTTTTTTATGTCTTTCAAAAATGTGTTATTTAGACCTTTTTACCCTATAGGCGGGGTAACTTGAAACGGGCAGGTGGCAAAAAGGTGTCTTATTATAATTTTAAAGGTATTTTGCAAAATAATTACATTTTTAACTAAAATGCTAAAAAACTACCAACAGAAGAAAATACTTTTTTTATGGATTTTTTTAAGATTACCGTTTATCTCCGCCATTTCAAAGATTACCGTTTTCAAATCAAGGTTATATCTGGTTATTCATCTTTTTTCCCTTGCTTTCAAATATTGTTGTTGAACAATGTTTAACTTTACTGGTATTTGACACATCGGTGGTGGACCTTTTTAACCCCGGACCTTCATATATTCATATATTACTATCTATTCTTCGATAAATTCTGGGAAATTATAACTGGGAAAATATTATTCAACAAAATTTTATCATGACTACTTATTGCTAATTGCATCAAGTATTAAAGAATTACATTAGCTACATCATTATTAGCTAATTTCATCAAGCGTTAATTAATTATATCACGTACATCATGTTTAGCTAATTTCATCGAGCATTTGTGAATTACATCATTATTAGCTGTTGGAATGAAAAATTTTTTAATAGTATTATCTTTGTACCACTAGCCAAAACATTTGTAACATTAAAAAATATATTTACAAAAGGTTCAAACATTTTTTGACAGTGTTGCAGCAATTAGTATCATTTTTACTATTCATCATTAATTCGATTTTGATTTATTTTAGTCAAGAAGATAATTGTAATAAGAAGGTTAATTTAATAATCAGCAAAATGATAACTGATCATTTAATAATTTAACTTACCATTTAATATTTTTACATTTAATAATTAGCAAAATAAAAATATTATTAATAGTATCAGAAAATAAATTTACAGAAGGTTCAAACATTTTTTGGCTGTGTTGCAGCCATTAGTATTATTTTCACTATTCATCATTAATTCTGTTTTGATTTCTTTTAGAGAAGAAGATAATTATAATAAGAAGTTTAAATACAGCTACAAGAGCATCGATAACTTGAGTACTTCATTCCATAATTTATGGTAATAAATTCATAATGAACTTCCGATCCATATCAAGATGACCAGTCATGCCAATAATTATAAAGAATTTAATATTATGAAGAGATTGAAGATAAAAAATTATATTAAGATATAAGGCTTATAAATGTAGAATGAAATAGATAATACGATGCGTATAACTTATTTAATCACAAAATAATTGCAGAATTGTCCCCAGCTTCGATTGTGAGTAACATAAATCTCAGCACTTCAATATTCAAAGCTAGTTTTGTATATAATTTTGTTATAAATTGAATCAGTTCATTTTGTATTATCTTATATATAAAATTCTTCTGTACGGGTGTATGATTTGATACTTTTCCTAAACGGTTATTCTGATTTTGATAATTCTTTTTAGAGTTTGTCAAAGGAAATTTTTAAGATTTAATGAACGATAAAACTATAGTTATATTGTAGAAACAAATGGCAAAAATTACAAAAAAAAAACACTTATCATCGTTTGACATTGAAAACATTTGAACTGTCATCTGCTAGAAATGTCAATTCACTTGAAATTTGAATTTAGATGAAATGATGAGCCTAGATAATATTAGAATGTAATATACAAGGAAAATGTAATGTCTACAGTATTATTGCCGAAAAGTAGCTGTGTGTAAATGTGACAGAAATTAAAATAATATAAGATACTGTCAACAGTAAATATTTGGCAGATGAAATTATATAATTCAGTTTAATAAAATAATAATTCAGTTTAATAAAAATAATGCATATGCAATTTTGGACTTACTGCGTTAGTCCAAAATTGCATATGCATTATTTTTTTAAACTTATGCATGTTCTATCTTGGTTTACTCTACTAAATTATTTAACGATACAAAAAAACATTTGTACTTATTAAAAAAATGATTTACAATTTTGTTTCATGTGTCAAAAATTCATTTGTTTGGCATTGGATATGGAATATTTAGCGAGTCGATCTTAGATTGAATAGTGCACATATGAATTAGATATTACAAATTAATTCACCTAAGATTTGATCTTAAGTAATGATGTTTATTGAATTATTAGTATTGAAAAAAAAATGTACTTTAGAAATTAAAATTGCCAAAAAAGCAACTAATATATCATACAAGATTATCAGAAAATTATAGACTAAATTATTGAAGCAATTATGTTGTGTGGTAAAATCAAGTGTGATATTGTTCTTTTACCACAGATACTATATTATTTTTTTCTGGATTTCTTATACCGCTTATGCTCAGACCATAAATGAATCACAAAGGCAGGACATTAAATAGGATATTAAAAAGTGTAGGTTAGGATATTAAAAAATTTGGAACTTTTGAATTGTGTACGTGGGTACAGGTCAACGTCTGTCGGGTCATCTAGTATGTATATAATTTTATACTTCCGACACAAACAAATATAAAAAATACTTTGTCTCAATTCTGGGTTCCATATTTATCGAATTAAAATTATGTTAACTATAATTTGATTGGTGTAAATGTCTTCAATCATGTGCTATTAGCAACTTATCATTTGTCATGAGATTTTCTTTATCTAATAATAATAATAATAAATTCTGTAAACGTAAGCCTGCATAAGCCAATATTATTAGTTCTTATTTAGTGTCATATATTTATAGTTTATATTAAGTGCTATGTATATATACAAAGATATCTATTAATACAGTAATTTTTTCACATATTATCTTAAGTTTTTAATTTGTATACTTTAAAATGTAATTAACGAACTAAATACAATGATGGACCTCAACAATTTCAAAATAAAATTGAAAAATTGCATAAGAGATAAATGAAATAAATGAGATAAAATTCCTTATTTTAAATACTATATTTCTTCTGTTCTGTTAAAATATTAATTACAATTAATTAATACGTAAGCGTTCTATGTATATAATAGTGATAAGTAAAAATATATAGATGTCTTAATGTTTAAGTCTGTTACATAAAATTTAGATTTATTTTTGTTATAATTGCTTTGATTTCTCATACCAGAACAATTGTCTGACTGAGATACAGTATGTACGAATTATATCAAATAAATAAATATTAACTAAAAATAAAAAATTATATTGTATTATTGCCTTGGGCGTTCAATAAATAAATAAATAAATAATAGATAAATTATTAATCTTAACCCAAGTAAGACACATGTCCAATATGCCCAATATGCTATATCTTTATAACAAACCCTGTCTTGTTTTATGTGACATATGTGAAATTGTGCAATATTTACATCATAGATAAAGGAATGATTTACATTCTCCATTTTAGTTTGTACATTTTACAGCATGCAATGAGTATAAATAATTATACAAAAAACTTACCAATTGATAATATATTATATAACACATCAACACTTGCAACACTTTTCTTTTAACTATAAACACTTAATTACACTTAAACTATCACCACTTATTTATTTAAATTAATAATTTCACTCCAAAAATAAATCAGACTAAATATTAAAACTGAAAGGAGCGCGTAACGTTTTGACATTCACAAATAATGTTGCCAACTTCGTAGCTAATAAATTAATATGGCGCTAATTTCAGATGTAAAATTAGAATTTAAAACTGTTTGTTTTTAATTATAGTTACTAGCAGGGCCGGTCCTACCTTGAATGCAATGCATGCAAAAAATGCGGGCGCACGCCTTAGAGGGCGCCAAAACGATTTTGGAAATGAAATTTATAATATATTATTTATATATTTTTTTTAAATATAAAATCTAGAATACTTAATAGATTATAATAAACAATCCAACTTAACTATGAGACACAAAAAGCATATTCAGTTTGCAATCAGATATCAATAGAAACAATTAACCAAATCATAATAACTCTGAAAATTTGTAAATTATTGTTCTCCTTATTGTTTAATGTACTTTTTTTTTCTTCGTTTGAAGTTAACGTGGAATCGAAAAAGAAATTATTTAGTGTTCAATCCCTACGAAACAACCTACGAAAGTTTAAATTAATTATTGGGCGTTATTGGTGAAAAATGGCGAGCTGATTTAGTTGAAATGGAACTTGTTAAAGAAGTATATACTAATTATAATAGAGAAAATGGACAATGGGGAGTCAGTGCTTAGAAAATGGCTTGTTTATTGCAAAAATTTGAATTGTAACTTCTATTTTTGTTGCGAATGTTTCACATCGGATGAACTTTGAACGTTGAAGACATGAGTGGTTAGGTTTATGGAGCAAATATGAAAAATGGAAGCAAAATGTACTTATTGTTAGAAACAAAAATCTTTAAGCTTTTTTATACATAATTTAATTATTAACTATGCAGCAATAATACGGATACAAATATAATTTGTTCGTTTCAGTATAGTTAAGGGAATATGTAATATCTTTGCATCTTTTACTAATCTTAGGACAGTAATTTAAAAATACGTTAAAAGTTTAATTTTAAAACAACAATCTGATACTCTGAATCTGATGGAAAAGTAAAGCTGAATACAACTCGGCCCTTACGATACCAATAAGAAGAAAGTTTACGATGCAATTTTGGATATTGTAAATAATAAAAAAATAAATTAAAATAAAATTTAATTTAAAACATGAAATACGAGTGTTATGTTTAAAAATTAAAGACTAGTTTTTTTGCTCTTTTGACGTGATTTGTTCTATAGAATAAATCGCAACAATAAGTAAGTTAAATGTTTCAAAACCCAAATATTAATATTACACATACGTTAGAAATAATTGAGAATTTAAAAATATTTGATTATAATCAACCCGCATATCGGCTCGATTTTCTAAATAAGTTTAAAATCAATGTATTTTTACGCTTTTAGATTATATCTAATTTTTTGTGTACTAAATCCAGAATGATTCAAAATTAATTAAAAAAATTGACGTTAACGTTTATAGAATTTTAATGAAAATCTGTTAAAATAGTTAAAATAATTAGGGGGGGGGGCGCCAGAACAAATCTTGCATACGGGCGCTGAGGACCCCAGGACCGGCCCTGGTTACTAGTATGAATAAATGATATTATAATATTGTCTAGGGTTGATATTTGATAAATTAACTGCTTGATATTGGTATTTTGCCTTGAGGCAAGTTACATGAACTTCCCGAAATATGTAAATAATAATCAAGATCAATAAAAAAATAATTAAATTTATGAGTGATTAAAAGTATTTCGAGTGGAATTATTACATATAATTGAAAACAAACGAAAATCAATAACCAATATTTTTTATAATTCAACCAGTTTCCGTTGGACTTTAATGGTTTAGTATGCTCATTAAGACCAAGTACTCTATCGTTATACCAAGTAAATCGTCTAATTTTATTTTAACAAACGCCAAAAATACTACTCATTTTCTCAAACTTTGATGAATTTTTTAAGTTAAACTACTGTCGTAAGGCCGTTATATTTCAGTAAGTTCTATAAGACCATGATATATATCGCCAAAAAAAGTTCTATAAAAATCGCCATAATTTTTTTTTCAACAGTTAATTACAAGATAACGGCTTGGTAGATTTTCATCTAAAATTAATCAGTATCATTTCCAACTATTATCTTTCGAACAGTTTTTAATTTTTTAAAACGATTCGGTAGTATGAGCCCATAGATAAATAAGCATGAGCCTAAATGTGGGCGAAAAGTTTAATACTTTTCCCCGAATTACAAAGAAACGGCTCTGCCAATCGCTGCACAAAGCTGAGAAAAGATAATACACATTAAAATACATAGATTGGTTTTTAATTTTTTGAAATCGGTTAAGGCGTTTTGAGTCCACGATTTCGAGAGCATGGATCATGCGATTTAATTGATTCAAAAAACATTCGATTCGATTGATGGGGAGGCGTGCTGATTAGTTTTTGGCGAAGGCAGGTCAGTCGTTACAAAGATATGGGGTACAAAGTAAGATAAATGGCAATTTTGAGCGTCCGATTTGAATAAATCAAAAAAACACTATTCGTATTGATAAAATATATTTTATTTGTTATAACAAATTTGTTGCATTCTTGGGAAGACAGGTCTAGCGGTTACGAAAATCAAAAAAAAAAAGTTAAAAAAATGCCATTTGGCGGCCAAATATGATCTTTAGATATATGCACATAAAATTATCAGATATTTTAATTTTTCAAAAATTTTTAGAGCATTAAAAAATTTTAAATTACGGTACGGTAAGTTCTAGCAATTTGCTTAATGCACGATGCCATGCACTAGTTTGCATTTGTTGTTTTGCAGATGTTAGTTTCATGGGACATTTTTTTCAGAACATATTTTATGTAAATTCTGTTAATTTAATTAAACTCTACAATAAGATTTTTTATAATTTCATTGTTGTAAATGATATGAACACAAAACTAGTGGTGTATGGCATCGTGCCTTAAGGCAAATTGCTGGAACTTCCCGTACAACAATCAAATATTCCCGTAGGGTAGTTATAGTAATAGGCCAAAAATCAAAAATGAAAATTTTTGCATATCTTCATGTTTTAAAGATTTCTGAACATTTTGGCACACCTCAGAAGAAATGGATGTGTGTGTGTGTTTTGCATGCCCTTAAAGCACGATGCCATGCACCACCAGTTTTGGTATTGCAAACAATATCTAGAAGTAATACCAGTGGTTAATTTAAATTATGTACATGTGCTGCCATCTTTAGATCGCTGGATAAATCAAAATTGAAGTAATGCCAAATCGCCAGACATGGCGATCTATTTATACTTATTTATCTATGGTTAATAATAAACTTTATTGTTGACCTTTAGAGTCCGCCATGTTTGACAGTTGAAACGTCAAAGTTTTATGCTATTTTATTATCTGTGTTTTGTAAAATAAATAAGTAATATGTTATAATTTTTTTGCAAATTTCTTCTTTAATTATTAGTGTTAATTAATATTTGTAGATAATTGAGTTTCAAGAATGTCCGAAGCAATAAACCATCAACTAATCAAAACAGAATCAATCGAAATGGGTGATACCACAGAAAGTAACCAAAAAACAATAAAACAAGAATTCGATGATATTGAAATCATAGAGTCACATGAAGATAATAAAACCACTGAACAAGTCTCTGAAGAAAGACCTCACAAATGCACAATTTGCAAAAAAGCCTTTTCCAGAGCTTATCACGTAAAAGAACACATGACAGTCCACAGCTCAGACAGACTCTTCAATTGCACAGAATGTAATAAATCCTACAAACACCTAGCAGCTTTACGAAAACACAAGCTAAGCCACACCGGTGAACGTCCCTTTGTTCGCAAAATCTGCAGCAAAGGCTTCACCAATACGAGAACCTTACCAAAACACCTGGGTGCTCCTGCAAGAGTACGAGCACACACTTGCGAAATATGTAACCGATCATTCTTTTACAAACGTAATTTAGACCAGCATCTATTTTCACACAAAGGGGCCCGGCCTCATAAATGTGAAATATGTGAGAAAAAATTCATTAGTAAAAGTAATTTGAATCAACATGTGCTCACACATAACAACGATAAGCCTTTTGTTTGTGGTATCTGTGACAAGGCTTTTAGGAAACCGTGTTTGCTAAAAGCACATATGACTTCTCATAATGCAAAACCAACGCGTACCAATGCTACTAATCCTTATAAGTGTGAAGTGTGCAATAAAGTTTACTCGCAAGCCGGTTATTTGAGAATACACATGGCTGCTCATACCGGGGAACAACTCCCACATAAGTGTGATATATGTCAACAAGCGTTCAGTTATTCTATTCTTTTAACGAGACACAAGAAATTACATTCGAAGGAGAGAGGAGATGGAAAATAATGATACTATTTTGTACAGGAACTAGTGGTGTATGGCATTGCATCTTAAGGCTGGAACTTCCTGTACTGTAATGAAATATTCGAGATATATTAAATGTAATGAATACTACAACTTATATATGTTTACAGAAAAGTAAATAAAACTCAAAAAGTAAGTAAAACTCAATCAATCGAATTAAACATGAAGGACATTGTCCAATATTTATAAGAATTATATAAACTGAATTGCAAATTTAAAATTATTTATTTGAAGTATATAAGTGTATTAAAGTAAGTAAGTACATTAAAATTTTGTCTTAAATGTCTGTTTGTTAAAGGTTTTTTTTTTTTTTTTATTTATTTATTTATTTGATATAATTCATACATACTGTATCTCAGTCAGACAATTGTTCTGGTATGAGAGATCACAGCAATTATAACAAAAATAAAATCTAAATTTTATGTAACAGACTTAAACATTAAGACATATATTTTTACTTATTACTATTATACACCCATATATACACACACAGAACGCTTGCGTACATACATACATACTTATACTTAATTGTAATTAATATTTTTACAAATCAGAAGTAATATAGTATTTAAAATAGGGATTTTAACTCATTTGTTTCATTTGTCTCTTATGTAATTTTTCAATTTAATTTTGAAACTGTTTAGGTCTGTCATTGTCTTTAGTTCGT